GATGGAAGCATGAGGATGTGCATAGACTACCGAGAGTTGAATAAGGCAACGGTAAAGAACAAGTATCCATTGCCGAGGATTGATGATCTATTCGATCAGCTGCAAGGTTCGAGCTACTTCTCAAAGATCGATCTTAGGTCAGGATATCATCAGCTGAAGGTGAGAGAGCAGGATATTGAGAAGACTGCATTCAGAACAAGATATGGGCACTACGAGTTCTTGGTTATGTCATTCGGACTAACCAATGCTCCCGCAGCATTCATGGATTTGATGAATAGGGTTTGTAAACCATTCCTCGATAAATCTGTGATAGTGTTCATCGACGACATTCTCATTTACTCGAAAAGCCAGGAGGAGCATGGCAAGCATCTACGAGAAGTGTTGGAGGTGTTAAAGAAGGAGAAGCTTTTTGCAAAGTTCTCCAAATGCGACTTTTGGATACGGGAAGTCCAATTCTTGGGTCATGTTGTTAACCAAGAGGAATAATGGTTGACCCCGCCAAGATCGAAGCTGTAATGAAGTGGGAACGTCCGAAGAATCCCACGGAGATTCGAAGCTTTCTAGGATTAGCCGGATATTACCGACGATTTATCCAAGGCTTTTCTTCGATAGCTGCTCCATTAACAGCTTTGACCCATAAAGGAGCTACGTATACATGGAGTGAGAAACACGATGAGGCGTTCAAGAAGCTAAAGAAGAAATTATGTGAAGCACCGATACTTTCTCTACCTGATGGAGTCGAAGATTTCGTAGTTTATAGTGATGCATCTGGAGTCGGGTTAGGTTGTGTTCTGACCCAAAGAGAAAAGGTGATAGCATACGCATCTCGACAATTGAAAGAGCACGAAAAGAACTACCCCACTCATGATCTGGAGTTGGCAGCGGTAGTATTTGCCTTAAAGATATGGAGGCATTACCTCTACGGCACGAAGTGCAAGCTCTTCACTGATCATAAGAGTCTCCAGTATCTCTTTAATCAGAAGGAGTTGAACATGAGGCAACGACGCTGGCTAAAACTTCTCAAGGATTACGACTGTGAGATACTTTACCACCCAGGTAAAGCAAATATTGTTGCTGATGCTCTCAGTCGGAAAGTCAATCTTGAAAGAAAAAGGCCAAGAGCATTAAGAATTGAAGTCGTCTCGACGATTGTGGAAAGTATCAGGAAAGCTCAAGAAGAAGCCTTAGAAAAGAATGACCGAAAGGAAGAACGTTTGGGAAAAACGTTAGTGTTCGGTACAAACAGTCGAGGACTGAAGGTATTCCAAGATCGAATTTGGGTACCTAAGACGGGAGGAATAAGAGATCTCCTAATGGAAGAAGCACACAAGACCATGTACTCGATTCATCCCGGTAGCACTAAAATGTATAGGGACCTAAAACCCTACTACTGGTGGCCGACGATGAAGCTCGATGTTGCGAAGTATGTGGCTGAGTGCGTAACATGTGCAAGGGTTAAGGCACAACATCAGAAACCGTATGGGAGTTTAGAACCTTTACCTGTACCCATGGGTAAATGGGAAGACATCACCATGGATTTTGTGACTAAACTGCCCAGAACGAAGAATGGACACGACATGATTTGGGTAGTCGTGGATCGTTTCACCAAGAGTGCACACTTCATAGCAGCCAACGAGAAGTGGTCTATGGATAAGCTCGCAAATGCTTACGTGAAGGAAATTGTAAGACTTCACGGTGTCCCTCTTACGATTGTGTCAGATCGTGATAGTCGTTTCACGTCAAGGTTTTGGAGGAGTCTACAAGAGGAGTTGGGTACGAAGTTGTGTTTGAGTACTGCTTACCATCCGCAAACTGATGGTCAGAGCGAAAGAACGATTCAGACGTTGGAAGATATGCTGAGAGCATGTACCCTCGAATTCCAAGGGAATTGGGACGAACACTTACCTCTAGTAGAATTTTCCTACAACAATAGTTTTCACTCGAGCATCAAGATGGCACCTTATCAAGCCTTGTATGGACAGAAGTGTCGTACGCCGTCTTGTTGGCTTGAAGCCGGAGAGAAGCAGTTTATGGGCCCCGATAGTCCATGAGACTGCTGAGAAATTGAAGGTGATTAGGGAAAGAATGTTAGCAGCTCAGGATCGTCAGAAGAGCTATGCTGACAAGAAAAGACGACCGATAACCTTCGAAGTTGGGGATTCCGTTTTACTTAAAGTCTCACCGTGGAAGGGACTTATACGATTTGGGAAACGAGGAAAGTTGAATCCAAGGTTTATTGGACCGTTCAAAGTTCTTCAGAGGATTGGGAACCAAGCTTACAAGCTGGAATTGCCCGAAGAACTCAATGGTATTCATAACACCTTCCATGTGTGTTATTTGAGGAAATTCGTGGGAGATGTTCCGACATAATTCTAATCTCAGAGTTAAGGATAGATGAAAATAAAAGGCTGATCGAAGAGCCCGAGGCAATTGTTGACCGTAAGACTAAGAAGTTACGACGCAAGATGGTCGACTTAGTGCTAGTCCAATGGAAACATTCGAATGGGCTGAATCTCACTTGGGAAACAGAGGATAACATGATGAGTCGTTATCCACATCTGTTTGCTGATGCATGATTCCGGGACGGAATCATCATAAGGGGGAGAGAATTGTAATGCCCGGGTTTTCAGGGCTAAGCATTTTGTCAATGTAATAGTCTAGGTCAACTATTGTAACTCTTTTTGAAGTAATAAATATGAAATATTTGAGTATTATGTGAATTATGTGTGTTTATGTGTTTATTATTTAATTATAAATGTAGAATTAATAAAGAATAAAAATGAGCGTCAGAATTAAAGTGTGAGATAATCCCGATATCTCTACATAAAGTGTGTTATGGCCCGCCGAAGTTTTACGGCAAAACCGGCACGGCACCGGAAGACATAAAATAGTAAATTTACGATAGAAGACTTTTTAGCCTTAGAAATCTAAATAAAAGTTGTAGAATATGTTAAACTAAGAACATCGATAAAAAGAACGCCCAAATCCGACTTCGTATGAAGAAGTTACGCTTTTTTCGAAGTTTCGGACTAGCAGTGTACTGCCCGAAATTCGAATGTTTGATCGAGCGGTTTTTAGCCGACACGACCTGAACGAGAATCAAAGATCTTGTTGAGAGTAGCGTAACGAGAAAAAGATGGGCAAAAACGGATGTCGGATGAAGAAGTTATGAGGATTTAACGGACAAATCGTGTCCCGGCCCGTTAATAATATAAAATTTAAAATAGAGCCAAAATTAGCCGACGAAGTCTAAACGAAAGTTGTAGAGTACGTTCGCACCTTCGCGTGGATATAAAGAACATCAAAAACGGAGCTCGTATGCGAAAGTTACGAATTTTTGAAGTTAGAACTCGAAAATGCGAACACTGTTGCGAATCGGATGACGTGGCCGCTTCTGAACCGTTGCTTGCTGACCACGGCTTCGCTCCGGATCGCGCCACGACGCCTCGCCTTACGCCCCGCGTACGAGGACCGGTACGCCCCGCGTACCTTCAGCCTTATCCGTCCGAGAGCGAGTGCGAGCCAGCTGTTGCGAGCTGGCAGCCATCACCGAACTACGCCCCGCGTAGTGCTGCTGGACGCGCCGTGTAGACCGAGCCCTCGCGGCTATAAAAGGAGGCCGAGGGTGCCTCCATTTTCACACCTTTCCACCTTCTTTCTCTCACTACTTTCTCTCTCTACAACCCCAAACCATCCCTAAGCCCTAGTTGAACCCCTAGCACCCTAAGGAAGCCGCGAGGCTCCCGAAGTCCCGAGAAAAAGGAGTTTTTCGGTTTCGAAACGCTGCTCCAATTGAGTCCCGGTTTTCGATAAAATTCGCTGTAAGTATGCTACGCTTACGCAATTTTTAATATAGCTTCCAAATAATTATAGGAATGTTATTAGGTCCTTAAAATAATTATTTGGGCTATTATTATGAGTTATATTGAGCATTATTAACGCTTAATAATAGTCAAACTAATTAATGTGTCGCGGTTATCGTTAAACTAAACCCTAGTGATATCGATACTAGGTTTTATCGAAGGAATATCATTTTAAGAGTATCGAAGCGCTGTCCGAGTGCTGAGTCACCACCTAATCAGGTGAGTGCATATTCACTTTCAACTTACACATAGATATGAAGTATTTAATATAAATTACATGCAATGTGTGCATATTATCTGAATACTTGCTATCTATGCTGAATGAACGTTTTATACATGTTTTCAAAGATTTAAACTGTATATGTATTTTATATCTACAAAATGTGTTGGGTAAAACATGGGTAGATGTAATAGTTGCTGTGTGACAAAATAAAATAATGAGAGGCCTCGTTATAGATGTTATTGATGATCCAGTCATCTAGCAGAGTATAGATGACGACCACGGACTATTCTAGACAGTCCAGTGGAACACTAGCAGGCTCGCAACCTGTAGGTGTTTATTTGAACTGTGTGCTCACCAGATGTACTCCATCCCCCACATGGTTGCCTATTAGGACATTTATTGCTGAGGAATCCCCTTAGCAGTAGTGTCCATCCCGATGATGATCCTTAGGCTAGGTCCCTTATGTAGGTGTTTAGGGACGTAAAGTGAGGATAACGGGAACGGGTAATCGGGTTATTGTTGATTGATGAAATTAATAAACTTATTTATTGTGGGTTGAAAACCCTATGTGCTCACCAGGCTCCCAAGCCTGACCCACTCAGTTTTATGCATTACAGGTAGTGGCGCATGAGCATAGGTGTGATGTTTTTGGACGAGGGATTATGGATATAGGCCTGTAGATATGAAATAATGTAGTAAGGCTTATATTGTACTGTTTATACTTTTGATCTGTACGAACATGACATCCCGAGTCTTTTAATGAATACATTTATATGGAAATGCTTTTGATAAATCTTTATCATATTATTGTTTTGGGACAAATTCCGCAAACCTTTTATTAAAAAATAACTCTGATTTTGAAATAAAGTATAAACAAAACCGGTCTTTTCTGGCCGTGATTTTGGGGATGTCACATGGAGCGGGGTCCCAGGGGCGGCAACCCCTGGCAGGGTCCAAGGGGCAGAGCCCCTGGCTGGGATCGAGCTGCCAGGTCAGCACGAAATTTTTTTATTTGGACTATGTTGCTATATTAAAAATTGCATCAAAAATCCAATTTTAGAATGTTGACCCTTTATTCCATGACATCCGTTTAATGACAGTTTGGTAGTTTTATGACAGTTTGTAACTGTCTGTTGACAGTTTTCAGACATGATTGATATATCCGTTTTTTGGTTAATATTCTGGTACATGTTGAAGAACATTTTCATATACATTCTCAAATTTCATTCTCTGAATTTCATCCAATTGAGTGTTCGATCTGTACCATCGAAATACTTCAATTTGATAGTGAATCACGACTTTCAGAGAATCCAAGCAATCTATTCATCCCTTTTTCTAACAAAAATTGAAGTATTCTGTAATCATGGCAAGTGGTGATTCTGTGAAGGATATGACAAGCAAGTTTAACAAATTGAACAAGTTTGAAGGGCAAGATTTTCGTAGATGGCAGAAGAAGATGCACTTTCTCCTTACCACTCTGAAAGTGGTGTATGTTCTTAGTACACCCATGCCAGTCTTACCAGAATCTGTTGAAGATGAACCTTTGGAGGCAACAAGAAGGAGATCAAAGTGGGAAAATGATGATTACATATGTCGTGGTCATATTCTCAATGGTATGTCTGACTCTCTTTTTGATATCTATCAAAATTTCGAATCTGCAAAAGAACTTTGGGATTCTCTTGAATCCAAATACATGGCTGAAGATGCTTCTAGCAAGAAGTTTCTTGTCAGTAATTTTATGGGTTACAAGATGATTGACTCCAGGCCTGTTATGGAACAATTCCATGAAATGTTAAGGATCCTAGGACAGTTTGTTCAACACAATCTGAAAATGGATGAAGCCATTGTGTGGCTGTGATAATTGACAAACTGCCCCCTTCCTGGAAAGATTTTAAACATAATCTAAAACATAACAAAGAGGAATTAACTTTGACTCAACTTGGAAGTCATTTACGGATTGAAGAGTCCTTAAGGACTCAAGAACTTGATAACAATCCTAAAGGCAAGAACCAAGTTGGTTCCTCTTCTGTGAACATGGTGGAAGGAGAAAGTTCAAAGAATCCCAAGAAGTCTAATGGAAAAAGGAAGTTTAAAGGAAAGGATGACAAGTCTTCCAACAAGAAGGCTAAGTTGGTTTGTTGGAATTGTAACAAACCGGGTCACTTCAAGAAAGATTGTCGTCTTCGCAAAGTGAATAAGGATGGTGCTGGACCAAGTGGATCCAAGGATCCAGAAAAGCAACAAGGTCAGATTTCTGTTTCATTGCAGAATTCTAAATATATTCAGAATTATATTTCTGTGATTTCTGAAGCATTTTATGTGCAGGATGATAAAGTTGCATGGTGGGTTGATTCGGGAGCAACAAGTCATGTTTGCAAAGATCTATATTGGTTCAAGGACTTTCAACCAATTGAAGATGGATCTGTTGTGAAGATGGGAAATGTTGCAACTGAACCAATCAAGGGCATAGGATCTGTTTTACTTACTTTTACTTCTGGGAAATGTTTGTGTTTAAACAATGTTTTATATGTTCCAGGGATTCGTAAGAATCTCGTGTCTGAAATTGTATTAAATAATTGTGGTTACAAACAAGTGTTAGAAAGTGACAAGTATATCTTGTCAAGACATGGTTCTTTTATAGGATTTGGATATGTATGTAATGGAATGATTAGGCTTAATATTAATTATCCTTCTAGTGATAATTCTATTTGCATGGCTTCTAGTAGTACTAGCAATAATTTTTACAAATCTGAATTATGGCATGCTAGACTAGGACACATTCATTATAAGAGATTAAAAGACATGTCTAAAATGAGTTTAATTCCTGCTTTTGATATGCAAAATAAGAAAAATGTAAAACATGCATGCTAACTAAAATCACTAGACAACCTTTCAAAGATGTTGTTAGGGAAAGCAAGGTGTTGGATCTTATACATAGTGATTTATGTGATTTCCATGCAACACCTTCCCTTGGAAACAAGAAGTATGTTGTTACTTTCATTGATGATGCATCTAGATATTGTTATATCTATTTGCTACATTCTAAGGATGAAGCACTTGATAAATTTAAAATTTATAAACAACAAGTTGAGCTTCATAAAAATGAATTAATAAAAGTATCGCGTACTGATAGAGGTGGTGAGTATTATGATCCAATTTATTTTGAATCAACTGGAATAATACATCAAACCACAGCTCCATATACACCACAACAAAATGGTGTAGCTGAAAGGAAGAATAGGACTTTGAAAGAAATGGTTAATTCCATGTTGTCATATTCTGGCTTAAGCGAAAGGTTTTGGGGTGAGGCAATGTTAACTGCATGTTACATCTTGAACAGAACTCCAAATAAAAGGAGTAAGAATACTCCTTATGAACTTTGGTGTAAAAAGGTACCAAATTTGAGTTATCTCAAAATTTGGGGTTGTAGAGCAGTTGTAAGGCTCACTGAACCCAAAAGGAAAACTTTGGGTGAGAGAGGTATAGATTGTATCTTTATTGGATATGCTGAGCATTCCAAAGCATATAGATTCTATGTCTTAGAATCTAATGACTCCGTGTCTATAAACACAGTGATAAAGTCAAGAGATGCTATCTTTGATGAAGAAAGGTTTACATCTATACCTAGACCAAGGGACATGATTCATCAATCTTCCAACAAGAGTGTTACTCAAGATGAAGATGTTTCTGGTGGTGCAACTTTTGTACCTGAACCTAGGAAAAGCACCAGAGCTAGAAAAGCTAAGTCTTTTGGATCTGATTTTCAACTATATTTAGTTGAAGGAACAAGGAATGAAACTATTTCTCAACATCAATATTGTTTTAATATTGAAGAGGATCCAAAGACTTTCAATGAAGCTATGGCTTCTAGGGATGTTCATTTATGGAAAGAGGCAATTCATGATGAGATTGATTCTATTATGCATAACAATACTTGGGTATTGGCTGATTTACCTCCTGGTTGCAAGGCATTAGGATGTAAATGGATCCTCAAAAGAAAAATGAAGGTGGATGGCAAAATTGATAAGTATAAAGCCAGATTGGTTATCCAAGGCTTTAGACAAAAGGAAGGTATTGATTTCTTTGATACTTATGCTCCTGTTGCCAGAATTTCTACTATTAGATTATTATTAGCTCTTGCAGCTATACATAATCTTTTGATTCACCAAATGGATGTGAAAACTGCATTCTTGAATGGTGACTTGGATGAGGAAATATACATGAAACAACCTGAAGGGTTTGTGATGCCTGGAAATGAACACAAAGTGTGCAAGTTAAAGAAATCATTATATGGTTTGAAACAAGCACCAAAACAATGGCATCAAAAGTTTGATGATGTTGTCTTGTCTAATGGTTTTGCATTAAACCAAGCTGACAAGTGTGTATATAGCAAATTTGATACTTCTGGAAAAGGAGTCATGATTTGTTTATATGTGGATGATATGTTAATTTTTGGTACTGATTTAGAAGAAGTTAATAAAACCAAGAAATTCTTATCATCCAGTTTTGAAATGAAAGACTTGGGGGAGGCTGAGGTAATTCTTGGTATAAGAATTAAACAAGGAAATAATGGGATTTCAATTTCTCAATCTCATTATATTGAGAAGATATTGAAAAAGTTTAACTTTGAGAATTGTTCTCCTGTTAGCACTCCTATAGATCCTAGTCTCAAGCTTTTGCCAAATAAAGGATCTCCAGTGTCTCAACTTGAATATTCTAGGGCTATTGGTTGTTTAATGTATGCCATGATTAGTACTAGGCCTGATATAGCATATGTTGTGGGAAGGCTTAGTAGGTATACTAGTAATCCTAGTTCACATCATTGGCAAGCTGTGAGTAGAGTATTCAAGTACTTGAAAGGGACCATTAATTATGGTTTAACTTATAGTGGATATCCTTCTGTTTTGGAAGGTTATTCAGATGCCAGCTGGATTAACAACTTAGAGGATCACTCCTTACAAGTGGTTGGGTGTTTCTTCTTGGAGGAGGTGCCATTTCTTGGGCATCTAAGAAACAAACTTGTATTACTAACTCAACCATGGAGTCTGAGTTTGTTGCATTGTCTGCTGCTGGTAAAGAAGCTGAGTGGTTAAGGAATTTGATTTATGAAATTCCATTATGGCCCAAACCGATATCTACCATTTCTATCAGATGTGATAGTGCCGCAACCTTGGCTAAGGCTTATAGTCAAGTGTACAATGGAAAGTCTAGACATTTAGGTGTTAGACATAGTATGATTCGTGAGCTCATCATGACTGGTGTGATATCTGTGGAGTTTGTAAGAACTCAGTTGAATTTAGCCGATCATCTAACCAAAGGGTTAGCAAGAGATCTTGTGCACAAGGCGGCTATAGGGATGGGTTTAAAGTCCACTTAAAATCTTTTATATTAAGATACCCAATTCCCATCTAATGCAATATTAGATGTTGAATTCAATGTGGAAAGCTTAATACTTGAAGATTGGAACACATTTTTATGATCATCCCAAGGTATGTGTTCAGTACTGCAAGTTAAGGAGGTTGAAAATTTATTTCTTAATAGTTCTTTGAAAAATTGCATTTGCAGGTGCAAGAATAAAAGAACTACCTATATAAACATGAAGTTTAGCTGCTTCAAAAAGTTGGACTTGGCTTTGATATGCTTATTGAAGGATGGGACACAAGCTAGTTAAATATAGTGTCAAGTTAGAAATTATGAGAATGTAAACTAGTGTGTGTATTATCTTCATGTATTCACTTTGAATAGAAAGGATTCAATCCTTAGAGACACCCTGATATTCGAATATTTGGATTGAGTAATATACTAATATGAAATTCAATCGTCACGACATTTCATTTATGCATCAGTTTGTTATTGTTTATGTTTTGTTTTTAAGTTTAATCAGGATTACACTTAAATAGGGGAGGTTTGTTGGTGATTTTATATCATCAAATATTATTTAAGTGTAATAGGATTAAATTTGTTAACCAAAAGTGATCTTGTTGAATATTGAACAAGTTAGGATGGTGTAGGAGTGCACACTTGTTCAAGTTTTTCAAGATTTAAAGTACATTGCTATTTAGGGGCGAAGCCCCTAAACGAACGGGGGTCCCAGGGGCGGCAGCCCCTGGCGGGGTCCAAAGGGCAGAGCCCCTGGCTGGGATCGAGCTGCCAGGTCAGCGCAAATTTTTTTTATTTGGACTATGTTGCTATATTAAAAATTGCATCAAAAATACAATTTTAGAAAGTTGACCCTTTATTCCATGACATCCGTTTAATGACAGTTTGGTAGTTTTATGACAGTTTGTAACTGTCTGTTGACAGTTTTCAGACAGGATTGATATATCCGTTTTTTGGTCAATATTCTGGTACATGTTGAAGAACATTTTCATATACATTCTCAAATTTCATTCTCTGAATTTCATCCAATTGAGTGTTCGATCTATACCATCGAAATACTTCAATTTGATAGTGAATCACGACTTTCAGAGAATCCAAGCAATCTATTCATCCCTTTTTCTAACATTTTCACTCATATCTGTTAACAAATAGATTTTTGTATGGAAGTATATATTGTAATTAAATCATTTATATCGTTTCATCCAATTTAATTCAGTTATCTAACATATTTTACAAATATTGTGATGTTAGTTGTTACTTAATCAAGTTCTTCTTTTCTCTCTCATCTTTTACAAGCTAAACATTTTTTTAGCGTTTATTTCCTAAAATTGACGAAAATAGTATAACTAAGATGATTCTAAAAGTGTAAGTATATCATTTGATGTATTTGACAATGCAATAAAAAATACAATAACATAATTAACTTTTTTCCTAAAAAAATTGGATGTAAATATCCAGTACATGAAAAATTACCCTTTTTGAAGTAGCCAAAACACTTAACTTTTACTTTTTATTTTATCTCCCCCACCCACTCACCCACAAACTATAATTTTTACTTTTATTTAAAAAGACTCAACAATCATCGATAGCAATCTAAATTGTTTGAGCAAATGCAATATATAATGCAGAAATTTTCTTCATGATGCTCATCTTCACAAAATATAATGTAAGCAGTGTCATAAACTAGGTTGTTGATTGAAAATACATGTTGGCTCATTGAAGAATAACATAACTTGCAATCCTTTATTAATTTTATAATATTAAATGTATTTTTCTTTAGTAATTGTCGTGTTTGTGATGATCTATCTATGTTTGATTTTTCTTAGCAGACTCAACTCCCTATGTGCTTTACTCCAGATTTTATATGTGCTTTACTCCAGATTTTATAAAGCTACTTCAGTTCCCGTGGTCTTTTTCAAATTTAGTTGAAGTAGATGACGAATTGTTTGAAAGCCGCATAATTTTTCCATGCAAGGAGTTGCTTAATTTGAAGAATCTTGAAAAGCTTTCTATTACCAGGAAGTATGGTGAATCTAAAATAAAGGAGGTATTTGAAGTAGCAGAAGGGACAAATGAAGATGTGGATATTGAAACACAATCTGTTGTGGTATTTGAGAAGCTGAAAGAGGTGACTCTAGATGGACTACATGATCTAAAACATATGTGGAAGAGCAATCGGTGGATAGTGTTGAACTTTCCAAACCTTACAAAGGTGTCGATTACAAGATGTGGACTGCTTGGACACGTTTTCAGTAGTTGCATGGTAGGCAGTCTATTGCAGCTCCAAGAGCTAAAAATAAGTGACTGCGAGAGTATGGATGTGATTGTGAAGCAAGTTGAAGATTCCGAAACCAGACCGACTACTGAGCTTGTGTTCCCTTGTCTCAAATCCATAACACTTCATGAACTTCCAAATATCAAGGGATTTTGCCTGGGGAAGGAGGCTTTTGAATGGCCCTCGTTAACTGCTTTGGAAATCAAAGATTGTCCAAAAATAAGAGTTTTCACAAATGGGCAATCAACTACTCCGGAGCTGAAGTTAATAGATACAACTTTTGGATTGTGTCATGCAATGGAAGACCCAAACTCTTTTATAAAGACCAAACAACAAGAGGTACGTGGTGTCTCTTTTGGTTATTAGTAACAGATTAATATGTTTGATCGAACAAAACGTTTACTTTACTCTCGAATTTACAACTTATTGTAATCTCCTCTCCTACAGGGATGGGAGTTCTAGAGCAACATCAAATTCACACGTGCGGTTTGGTTCGTTTTGAAGTTAGCTATATAGCACAGGTAAGATTACATTGTACACTTATTTCCTTCTTCCCAATCATGTACATGTTTCTCCACCTTAGTTATCTGATCATTGAATTGACTTTTTGTCACAGTTGCTTGCTTACTACTCTTTCAATTCGGGTTATTGAACTTCTATTTTCAAGTAATCTTATCTATGATGTGTCCACTTCTTGTATTTAATTAAGCTGTGACCAACTTAGCAATAATTACACTAGTTTTTATTAATTGGTTTGTACATGTTCCACTATTTTAAATGGTAAATAAATTCAGTGGTTGAAGGTGCATAGAATGATAATCCATCATACATGAAACTTTCTTAGCTCACACTGGGTAAGAAAGAAAAAAAAAAGTATGAAGCTAATTTGCTATAACATAAATCTTCTCTTAATTCAACAGATCTGTGCTCTTAATTTTTATGAACACCCGGTGTTTGATAAAATTCTTCAATGAAAAAAGACCCATAAATTTTTGGCTCCTCTTTTAAGTCAAGTGTATTAATGTTTGTTTTGTATATGAGCACTTAAATCTTGAGGAAGCGACTCCATTTCTCTCTTGTAAGTTGAGTGCGTCAGTGTCACCCATATAAAAGCTTTGTTTTTTAATCTCTGAAATAAAAAGAATAAAATTTGGTTACAAATATCGTATGTTCAGTGCCGGTTTCCGTCGCCACCTTCAATGAATCTATCTCATGATGATTTTGAGTTAACAATTGTTCACTAAACCTAGATAAGTTACAATTATGCCCATGACTATGAGCCATCCATTGATTATTATAAACCTATTGAGAAACAGAACACTTATGCATATTATCTGATTTTTGATGCATCTGAGGTGTAACATTTTTTTTATAATCAAATTTAGGTTGATATTGGAGTTGTCATTACTTATAATCACGCTCAGATTTTGAAAATGCCACTTATGTAGAAATTATTTGATGAAAAAACATTATATTTTCATTCATTGTTTAATTTATCACTTTGTGCATGTTTTTGTCGACATACCGTTGTACCATATGATGACATGAAATTTTTTATGTAGTGGCTGGTTTAGCTGGATTAAAAGACATTATCTGTCAAGTTGATTTTATGTGGTGGCGGGCTTAGTTAGAAATATTTGATGAAAAAAAACATTATATTTCCATTTCTTCAGCATCTTCAAACCTTTGGTCATTTATTTGAAGTTGCGTAATGATCAATGTATGTCATTTGCATAAATTTTTAATGAAAGTGAAACGTTGTTGCGGAATTTGTCTAAAAAAAATAAAACATTGGTGCATAAACTAGTCCTAGAATGAAACATAGTTGAATAATGCATATTATGTCTAAAAAACTATTTTGTTGCATACTAACATGTGCAATCAATGTACGTGGCTTAAACATGTTAAACCATATGGTTAAAAATGTAATTCACTCACTTTTCTTATAAGCATATGGTTCCTAGTACAAATAGAATCCTAATAGACAGATGAAAATAAAATCATATTCCTAACCATCAAAACAAGTAAACAACACTTCTCAAGAATACAGTTATACATGAAAGCATAGTTGTATTGGAAAAGTTGTGGTGTAGAGTAAAGTCCAAATGTAACAGACATGCCTGGTGAACTCCATCTATACATAAGATGAGAATTAATGATAATAGATATTATAAACTATAAACTAATTACTAAGTAGCATAAGTAAAAAGTGTTTATAACTATATATACCCATAACAGGTCCCAACTTATAAGCACTAAAAATCCAATTATACATCCTGTAAACTCTGACGAAAGAATTAAAAATCAGAAAATTGTTCAAAATGGCTTGAAAATACATCCCAAACTACATATTTCATCGAACACGGAGAGTGCATTCCTTTTCGGCCTTTCTACAACAAAGATGATGTTAAACGCGGTAGGAGAAAACCCTAAGATACCCTATAAATCCTAACTAATTTAAGCCAACTATACAATCCCAAATGACCACCTTCCTCACAGAACCCAACTAGTGCCCTCAAATAGGGTAGCACCAAATATGATACTAAATTTGAACTTCTCAAAGGAATTGCAAATATATATGAATATTGTTTACCTGTGACGGAATAATAACTCTGATAATCCTCCTCTTTGAGAGTTTCAATGCCGATGGTTGAAGCCTTGAGACAGTGCTGAGGGCGAGGGTGGTGCCTGTAATGGTTACAGTGGCGCAAGAAGAGGTCAGTGACTGTGGGAATTATGAAAGGTTCCACGATTGTGAATATTGATGGGCGTCATGGGAGGTGAGCGTCGTCAGGGAGTGTCAAAGGGTGAAGGGTATTTGGCGTTTTTTTTTAGCAAATGATTTGGTTCACTCTTTGAGGTTAAAATGGTTGTTTTGATGGATTAAAAAGGTAAAATAAGCGAAAGTGATTTATATAATATTTTTACGAAAAATAAATTAAAAAGGTAATGTCATTTTTAATTTGTCTATGTTTACTCTTTATTATTATTATTATTATTTACAAAATACATATGTTAACTTGTTAGTTTTGTGTAACACCCGTTTTTGGTTTGTGAGTTGTCTCTTGATCTTCTTTAAGTTGAGTTAGTTTGGGTTTTTGTGTGGGTCGCGAAGCGGCTACTTATTGGTCTGGGCGTATGCCACGCCATTAAGTAGCGACATGACCTTATAGTTGTTGAGGCGCGCTAGGCATGGCTGGAAGGATAGGGCTGGAAAAGGAGCGTCAGACAGTGCTAACAAGGGAGCGTCAGGCAGGGCTGGCAAGAGCGTCTGGCAAGGGTGGCGCGCCAGAGCTGTCTAGGCCATGTTAATCGACCTAATATCATCAAAATCGTTTTAGTACCTTGTCCAAGTATGTACTAAATCCAGTTAGTCTTTTCTTTATATCTCTCAAATTTCTTATCCCGAGAATATAGGATGCCTCTCCTAGATCCTTCATAGCAAAACACTTTCTAAACCAAGATTTCACTTCTTGCAAGGTTGGAATCTTGTTTCCTATAAGTAGTATGTCATCAACATACAATACTAGAAAGGTTACTATACTCCCACTAGATTTGACATATACGCATGACTCATTCTCACTTCTAGAGAAACCAAATTCTTTGACTTTCTCATGTAAGCAAAGATTTCAACTGCGAGATGCTTGTTTCAATCCATAAATGGATTGATACAAGCTTACACACTCTATTGGGAAACTTTGCATCAACAAAACCCTCTGGTTGACTCATGTAAACATCTTCAACCAACTTCTCATTAAGAAAATTTGTTTTGATATCCATATTTGTCACACCCCAAAACCAAGAACGGCAGAAACGTTCCGGGGTGGAGGACGTCATGTTAAGTATCACAACAGTGTAAAGTAGTAAACAAGCAACAACATCATCCATTGCATTAAAAGTAAAGTTTTAATACATGTGTGTTCTTTCAATGTAATAAGACACCAAAATATACAATCAAAATAAAAGACGATTCTTGTCTGTGCTCCGTCTTCTCAAAACCTGGCCATCGTACCTGTCTACTGGTGACCTGAGAATACAAGTTATTTTGAAAGCGAGTATCAGCCTAAAGCTGGTGAATTCATAAGTATTTAAGTGTCATTGTCTTGTTTTGGGAAGCTGTTATGAATGCCTTGTAAATATTTAAATGAAACAATTGATATAAGTATGAAAACCCTAGAAAATCCCTTATTTCCTACTAGTATGAAATGTAGTCTTCTACCAAGACCCGAATGTTTTGTAAGTGAAAATGATAGTTTTTCCTTTCTTTTGACTATTACTAACAGTATTTAGTCTAACTCATCGTTTATGTGAATGTATCACAAAATAAAATAATAGGAAAATGTACTAATGTAATTGTGTATCCTTTTGTATTATGATTAACACGACATCGCGATTAGCGAAATGTATAACCTTTGAACATCCATAGATTGTTCAATTGTCCTCTATAGCTACAGCAGGTGGGAGGAAGGGTTAGTCCCGTAAAAGTATTCCTAATATAAGTATTAACCGTAGGCATCCGTAGATGTTCATCAACCTCTGTAGCGAACAGTAGGCCCAAGGAATGGGTAGTCCCGTAAAGGTACTCCTAGTATAAGTAATAACCGTAGGCATCCGTAGATGTTCATCAACCACTGGTGCTAACAGATGGGATTCGGAATGGTTAGTCCCGTCTAGATATCTCGTTGAACTGGGATAGGCAGGACAATTTACACAGAAGGTACTAATAAATCATCCTCGTGAATCGAGATACAAGTATTCATGTAAGTGTATACAGGTAAATGTATCTATGTAAAGGTACTCATGTAATGTATTCATGTAAGGTACTCATGTAAGTGTATTCATGTAACATGTAATGTATAGTATAGACTCATGAATGAACTGACTCTGATGTAATTCCTTGTAATAGGAATAATGTTTTGTATCTTCTAACTATCCCTATAATAGTTAACTGGAAGGTAATTGGTTGTCCAAGCAGGTTTATACACCCTTGCTACACAAGAGTGTGGGAACTGAATGAAGGATGAAAACTATAACATCAATACATATATAAGAACATAAGTGTATAGATATAGTTTTGTTCAAGAAGGTAAAAATGGTTTTGTAAGACATCTAAGAGTTTTGAACAATAACTAACAATGAATTGATGTCATGTTAATAAACATTTCAAGCGTAATACTTTTTTATCAAGGTATTTTTAAGATATAAAACCATTTCATGCATCACATTTTGTAGTATGTGAAATCTGCTGAATGAAAACACAGTTATAAATACATGTGATTGATTTAATAACATGCTGTTTTCTACCTGTATCTCCCCCCATTAAAGAATTTAAAATCATTTAAAACATTGATTAAAGGGTATGAACTCACCTGAAGATGGTGGTTTGGATGTACTGAATGATGTAGGATAACTAGGTGACACATGAAGACTTGTTCAATGATCCTAGTTAACATATAATCACACATATATGTATCCAATTAGACTTTAAACCACTAATTGACAAAGTTAAGACATCCTAAGGCATGTAAAACACCTTATATAAGTGCTACAAGTCATCAGGATTGCATCTAAGTGCTAAAGGACCTTGCTATAGTGTTTGGGGTTCAAGGGTAAACTCCCTTGGAGTTTACGGTTTTCATGACTTTGACCTAATGATTTTACGGTTGTAAACTCAAGAGTTTACGGTCGTAAACTCCTCTCTTTTTTACCATAAGTTGTTTTGAGGTTTTTCAAGTCCTTTGAAGCATTTCTACTTGGTGGTTTGGCCTTTGGAAGAGATTAGGGCA